TTTCTTTTTTTTTTACTGGTTTCCTGAGTATGATTATAGACCTATAGGACAGAGAAGAATRTGGCCTTGAACATGTGGTACAGTTCTCTACCCTCCCTTAGAGTTCTTGAGTTCTTTTCTGTATAGTGGGAGACATGGATTTCCTCCTGAGGCAGAGAAGAGAATACCAGCATGGTTTTCCACATCCTGGTTTCTGGATTTCAAGTAGAAATTCACTAATGCCAAATTTATATTGCTGTTAGTAAAGATKAACCAAATAAGCATTTGTCTACCATACATTTCAATGGTTTGTAATTGATGCTGTCTATTTTCCATGGGTGATTTTTTGCCATTAGAAGATAAAATTTAATTATATCTTTCATAGTAATATGTTCTTTGGGGATGTAGAAACTTGTGTCTCATGGAAAAGTCCTCCAAATGAAGGTCCAACATATCAGAGTATCAATAGTACTTTTTTAAAAATGTAGGAAAGGGCTTTTTAAAGGAAGCTCTCTTCAAGAAATATCAGTGATTTGAGAAATAAAATTATTTTATTTGTTCTTCTGGTGTCTTATGTTAATCCATAAATGCCACCTCTGATGATCTTTTACCAGGATTGTGTGATGCTTACTATTAAGTCTGCATTTTTAGTCTTAACCTCTGTGAGGTAAACACAGATACATATTTTATGGTCTAGTTGCTTTATATAACAAGTCGTAGCTGCCCAAATTCCCTCTTCACCATGGTAAGTCTATCAAATTGCAGTGCAGTGCCATGCTATCTATGGGAGGTGATATAAATTCAAATGAGTATTAACATTCATCCTGGAAAGAGCYGGGAGATGCACACAAACCTCAAAGGTTCTGCACATCCAAACTAGAGAGAGTGTGTATTCATAGACATGGAAGYACGCAGGAGCACAGTTGTGCATGCCTGCATATTCAAAAATGGCCATAATTTCTACATTTTCATTAATCCCAACAGAATGTGGTCCACCTKTATTTAAACTAAACAAACTTAAAAAATTAATTTAGTCAAAGAAAGCTCTTTTCTAGTGTCAATGTTCTAAAATCCTACTATGATTGGCATTTATGCTGGTGGTGCATTGACCAGAGATGGATGGGATGTGGCGAGTGCTCTTCAGGGGAACTCTAAAGGAGTTTGAACTAGTGGCATAAAGAACCTCTCCAGGATTATCAGATGAACATTTCTCAAGAGCTCTAGACCTCTTTCTAGGATATATGTTATATGCATGCAAAAGTCACTATGTACTTTCCTAAAATATAATAACTTGTACCTCTGATTTTTGYTTTCTCCATAGGTATGGGAAAATTGTATCCACAAAGGCAATTCTTGACAAAAACACAAATCAGTGCAAAGGTACGTGCAAAGTGTCCACCCTGTGAGTTCATTATCAGTTTGAATGATTGACTGGTGGCTTGACTGCCAAAGCTTTGGTTCCAACTGTGCAATCAACATAATGCACAGTATATTACAAACATATTTAATAATGCCAAAGCTTTGAGTTGTGCTTCCAGTAACATTGCTCATTAATTTTTTTCATTAACAAACAAAATGAAAATCACAAATCAGAACAAGTATCAAATTGCTTCGGCAGAAGAGTAAATTACCTTCTAACCACATAGTGTTGTCTGATTTGAATGATATCATCAGTGATGCAAATTGATTTCCTATATAAAACTGAGAATCCTTTGGGAAAAGTTTCCTAAGGAAAACCTGATCTAATTTTTATATTTTTTGTGAAGYCTTGGCCTATGCTAATGGAAGAATAAAATATTTTTTGTGACACAAAGAGATCTGCAAGTTGCAATAGCAAGATATAAAAATAATTCCTTCTCCAGTTTTATGTTCCTAATTTTTCTGCTAATRTATGAAAATACTTTAAAATGAAATATAGCATTTTGTGTGTGTGTGTGGCTGCATTTGCTGARAAAAATATTGACTAACTTGTGTAGTAGCATCTCAGGACTAGGATTGTTACTTACTTATGAGTCTACAGTGTCACTGAGTCTATGGGGGTGAAGCTCCACTTTAAAATGATTCTGTAGCTTACCACTAGCGGTGTACAGAATCCTTTTGGAGTAATAAGATCTACTACAACGGGTTCTTCTGATGAGAAGCACATTCCAGATATCATTTCTATATGGGTTAATACCAAGAAAAGGCATTGCAGTTCAGGAATKTCTTGTGAGTGGCCAGATACRCRGTTWAGAGAAGCGGCAGAGAAGCCTTCTRGGGAAACCATGAGATGGGAGCAAAATCCTGCTGCCTGTACCAAAGATGTTTTTGAAATTTGTAGAGGTGTGTGACTTTATCTATTGCCTGCCAGAAGCAGCTTTCATCAGCTAGTCAGGAGAAAAGCACTGCAATTTTAGTCTTGGAAAACTATACCAAGCTGGTTGCTCATGGGCCGTTGTCACAAAGTTGCATTTGCTTTTACCTGCACAGGCATTTTATTTCCTTGGGACGCTCTTCTGGCAGAATTCTGATAACATTACTCTGTATTTCTCTGA